AATATTATTTGAATAAGAAAGTTTAGCAGAGTTGTGGGACATGTTCAGTATATGTCAATTGTATTTTTCAATTCCTTTTACATGAAACAATAAATATGATGGTACCTAGGAATACATCTAACAAAATATGTAAAGACTTTTAGAGAAGAAATTTACAAAGTTTTATTGAAAGAAATTAAAGACCTAAATAAATGAAGAGATACACCATATTCATGGATGGATGACCTTTAATCATAATACCAAAATTTTTAAAATCTCAAAAATCTTCCAATTGATTTACAAATTCAGTGTATTTTTAAACAAAATTCTACAGGTTTTTAATGGAAATTAAGCTATTTTAAAAAATTATTCAGAAGATGGAGTACAGCCTTTAAAAACTGTGAACCACTAGGTTGTATTTCTGAAACTTATATAATATTATAAATCAACTATACCTCAATAAAAAAATATATACAGAGGAGTGAAAAACAAGAATAACAGCCAAGACACCCCTGAGGAACAAGGTGGAGAAACTTACACTATCAAATGTCAAGATTTGGGCTTCCCTGGTGGCGCAGTGGTTGGGAGTCCGCCTGCTGATGCAGGTGACACGGATTTGTGCCCCGGTCCGGGAAGATCCCACATGCCGCGGAGCGGCTAGGCCCGTGAGCCATGGCCGCTGAGCCTGCGCGTCCGGAGCCTGTGCTCCGCAGCGGGAGAGGCCGCAACAGTGAGAGGCCCGCGTACCGCAAAAAAAAAAAAAAAAAAAAAAAAGTGTCAAGATTTATTTAAAAGATGCAATAATTAAGGCATTGGTTATTAGCACAGGCACAAATGGTAGAGTGTTAGAAATCCCTGAAACAGTCCCAGACATGTATGGAATGTGGTATATAACAGGCAGCTTTGTAGATTGGTTGGGAGAGGATGAACTAACTGTTTAGTAAAAGACGTTAAGTCAATTGGTGATCCATTTAGATGAAAAAAAAAAATGAGTTTGGATCCCTATCTCACATCTTGCACAAAGAAATCAATTTTAAACAAAGACCTAATTGCAAAAGGCAAAACAATAAAACTCTTATTAAAAAAAAAGTGGAAGAATATCTTTATGACTTAAAGGTAGGGTTTCCTCATCAAGATTCAAAAGATTTCCTCATCAAGATACAAAGAAGTGCAAACTATATATAAAGGAAACATTTAAGTTAAGAATGTCTGTTGATCAAAAGACACAAAAAAAGTGCAAAGAGAAGCTCAGACAGGGAGCAATACATAGAACCTACAAAGGATTTGTAACTTTCAAGAGTATATAAAGAGAACTTAAAAAATCAATAAGAAAAAGACATCTCAATAGAAAAATCATCAAAACATGTATTCCCCAAAAGAAGGAAAATTGGCCAATTATAGGTATGAAAATGAGGTCAACTTAAACAGTAAACAGAGCAATACAAATTTCAACCATGAGATATTTGTATGGTCTCAAATTGGCAAAAATAAGAATTCCGACAGTACCCTTGTTGGTATGAATCTGAAGCAGTGAGAACTAAAATCTGCTCTGTTGGAGTGTAAATTAGTTGTAACTACTTGGTAATACAATATTTTATCTAGTGAAGTTGAGTATGTGTGTTCATGCGTTTGTATAACCCAGCAATTCCATTTCTAGCAGTGTACTCTAGAGAATCTTACACCCATGTGCCAGGAGACAAATGTAATAATATCCATACTATCATTGTTCATAATGGTAAAACACTAGAAACAATCTAGGTATTTATATACAGTAGAATGATTAATTGCATGCACATAATGTTGAGTAATAAAGCAGGAAAATACATCTAGCATTATTCTGTGTATTTACATTTTTAAAGCATAGGAATTTAAATAGTAAATTATATAGGATTACATATACTTTTGTAGAAAAACTATAAAGAAAAAACAAGGAAATGATAAAATTAAAATTCAGGATAGCAGTTACTCCTGGAAATGTGAGAGAAAAATATGACTGAGGAGGCACATTGTATTAGTTAAGGTATAGGTTTAGCTGCATTTGACAGAAATCCCAAATAGTGATGTAAGCAAGATGTAAGTTTATTTCTTTGTTTTGAAACAGATTGAAAATATTCTAGGCATGACAACCATGCTCTACATGGTTATCTAGGAACCAGGCTCCTGCTGCCTTTTTGTTTAATTTTTTGAGCATTACCCTCACTCACAAGATTATGGTGGCTCACCATCACAGGTGGAAGTATGGAGGGCTAAGTGACCTTCTTAAGGTCAGTTTCTAAATGTTGCACACGTGACTTCTCATGGTGTTCTGGCTAGAATTTAGTAATTTTTAGATGCAAGGAAGCTTGAGAAATGTGCCCAGCTGAAAATCAAGAGTTTTAGAACAGGGAGGAGAACACAGATACTGGAAAGAAAGTAGCAATCTCTGCCACAGGCTCATGGGGCCAGGATAGCAAGAGAAGTCATCAAAGTATTGGTGTTGTTCTGTTTCTTAAAGTAGGATGGTGAGTATAGGTCCTTTTTAAACATTATTTTATACCTTCCTTATAAATTATATACTCTTTTGTATATATGAAATGTTTCATTATTAAAGTTACATGTAATGGATACTTTTCAGGCTTTACTTTGCTTGAATCTTATGCAGCATATGGTATTGTTGATCACACCCTCTAGACATTTGAATTTTTATTGGCAAGAATCTCCAGATTTTTCTCTTATTTCTCCATCCATTCCTTTTCAGCCTCCTGGGCTTCACTTTCTCTGAAGGGGAAAAAAGGCCTTTTCCTAGATGCCCCTCACTTGTCTCCATATTTATTTAGGATAGTTTCAAATTGGCTAATGGGTTTCCTGGATTTGGAAAAATTGCAAGAGAAAACTAATTATATGGTAAATATTCAGATTTTATCAACTTTTATTCATAATGTTCTAGCCATACATGAAAAAAGAGAGGTTAGCACATTTTCTTTGTAATTTTATATAATTGTTCCTTATATCTTTTTGAACTACATCACAAAAGAACAAATAATTCTAGAGTGAGTCAAAAGTACCAGTGCATCTTGTAAAGGTAAGAAACAGCAACTGTTCCCATAGATATATACATATAACATTATTAGAATAAATGTTAGAAATAACTCACATCTTTATAATCACATACCACATGTTATATCTTCTTATAAAAATCATCAATTTACTTGACTACCCGGCATAATGACTGCATTTCCTAGCCTTCCTTGCAGCTGGGTATGACTAGCTGACATAAGTCTTGGCCAGTGGAATATAAAAAGAAGTCATTACATGATAAATTTTAGCATATATTAACAGGGACTATTTTTTCCCCAATGAAATAGTCTCAGGCACACATGTATTTGAAAAGTTCTATTCACCTAAATTTGTTAAAAGCAAATGAGATAAAATTCATTTGGTCAGCATTCAAGTTTCAACCATATGTTAAGGACTGTGTCAGGTTCTGGGAATACAGGATTGAACAAATTATAGTCCAACCTTCAAGGAGCTCACGGTCCAGAGGAAATCTAGTTAAATGCTATGGGAGATGTGGCCATGACCAAGGTGCTGTGGAAACACAGAAAATGCCAGTTAGCCAGGAAACTCAAACTCAAGAAAGTGATAAACTTAATGTAAGTTTATAAAATAATTTTTTAAAAAATAGCATCCAAAATTCTCAGTTATTATAAGTATTTTAAATATAATTTCCATTAAAAAAATGAGTCCTAATGTTATTGTAGTAGGTGGAGGTAAGAATGACAGAAGGAACACAGGTGAACTCCATTAACTTTTAAAATATTTTCTCTATTTTATAGATTTTTTACATTGGTTGTATACTAATCTTATAGCCAGAAAAAAATAATTTTAAAATCCAACATTTAAACAGAATATGTATTTTTTAAATGTAGCAACATAATTTTTTGATTTAGCAACATGGTTTTCATGAGATTTCTGATTGAAATCTTTATCTTAAACTCAAACTCATGTAACATATTGCATATTTTATTTTATTATTATTATTTTTTTTTTGCGGTACGCGGGCCTCTCACTGTTGTGGCCTCTCCTGTTGCGGAGCACAGGCTCCGGACGCGCAGGCTCAGCGGCCATGGCTCACGGGCCTAGCCGCTCCGCGGCATGTGGGATCTTCCCGGACCGGGGCACAAACCCGTGTCCCCTGCATCGGCAGGTGGACTCTCAACCACTGCGCCACCAGGGAAGCCCCATATTGCATATTTTATACATATCTTTTTTAATATTTTCAATTCAATTTTACTTAATGTAAATATGTAATACATATGTCTTCATAGTACTTCACTGTTATTGCAGTGTAGATATTGTCTCACATTATAATTTAAGGCAGACTCTAATTTCACTCATTGGTTATAACAGATTAGAAGGAGGAAAACAGTACAGTTGACCCTGGAACAAGGTGAGGGTTAGGGGCGTCAACCCCTACTCAGTAAAAAATCTATGTATAACTTTACAGTCAGTTGGCCTTCCTCCCTATCTGTGGTTCAGCATCCGAGGATTCGGCCAACCACAGATCATGTAATACTATAGTGCCTATTTAGTGAAAGAAACCCACTTATAAGTGGACCTGCACAGTTCAAACCTCTGTTTAAGGGTCAACTGTATGCACAGTTCTTAATCATAACATAGTACCCGCTCACTGTCATATTTTTCACTAATCTGGAGTGTAACCATTTTCTTGTGACCTAAAGTTGTTCAAACTCATTTCTCTTTTTTATGATTTCTTAAGATGGGAGAAAGACCCATTTTCACAGACTTTACTCTTCATTTTGAAGGACTGAAAAGGGACTTGTCAAATCTCATCACACTCATGGCCTTCTATATCTTTGCTTCTATCACTTAGTCTAGGTCATTGTAAAGCACTCTCCCCAAGGTGATTTAGTGATCCAGGACTTATTGCTGGTGTCATTCAGATATTGTACTATAACTGTTATATTCTCTCTGATTAGCTTTTCAACAAAAATGAACTCTTTATTTTTTTTTCCTTGCAGACTTTGCCTTCAAAAGAAACAAGGTTTTTAAATACTACACAAATGCCTTGCCTGCAATCATCTTCAATTTGGAGCAGCTGTGAACACAATTCAAAGTCTCAAATATTAACAGAACATGTATCAGAGTTAGATTCTTCTTTCCATTCCGTTCTATCATTGCCATCAGGTAAGATTCCTTTTAAAAAATTTCTAAGTAACTGACTTTTTTATGGTGAAATCTAATCCTGTAAATACAAGGAATCTGATAAACTTTTATCAGTTGTCACTGGATATTACAGCTAAACAGTTTTCATAGAGAAATTAATCTAGTCACATGCTGAATTAATGTTCTATCTTTCGGTTGATTTTTTTTTTTTTTTTTGCGGTACGCGGGCCTCTCACTGTTGTGGCCTCTCCCGTTGCGGAGCACAGGCTCCAGACGCGCAGGCTCAGCGGCCATGGCTCACGGGCCTAGCCGCTCCGCGGCATGTGGGATCTTCCCGGACTGGGGCACGAACCCGTGTCCCCTGCATCGGCAGGCGGACTCTCAACCACTGCACCACCAGGGAAGCCCTAGGTTGATTTTTTAATTCCTTGGAAACCATTTTGACTTACTTTGGGAAATTTTTAGCTTTTGATCTCCTTTTGATGTTAAATTTTTAGCATGTTATTGATAACATGGCTGTGCTGTTGAAATGTTTCTCAGTAAGTCAGAGTTCGTTTTCTAATGTGTTGTTTTGCATGGAGTTTTCCCTGCCATGTAGTATTCCTCCATCTATAATCAGCATTGAATTTCTCTGAGAGAAGAAAATTGTCCATCTTTAGACATAGTCAACTTCTGAACCTCAAAAATACCTGTAATATACAACCGAGCAGATGAGGCATTGCATCCCTATATCCCTAAGATGGCTTTAAGTTTCTTTCCAGTTCTGTCTTCTGTTCGAATGTTTCCAATCTTACCTACATTGGAACTGAAGTAAATATTTAGGGTAAAAAAGCAAACATTCTTCACACTGGTTATCTCAGGTTCCTCTCTTTATGGGAAGATATCTCAAATGGGCTTTTGTTTCCTTTTCAGCTTTTGGTTCTAATCATCCAGGGACTGCTCCTCTTTGTAAAGCACTATTTCTTGTACCTATTCCTGCCCTGAATGTTAGTTTGGTTTTTACCAGTATTACAGTGGTTTCTTAGCTACACACCATACTTTGAAGTAAGTTCCTGGTAGGAACTATTTTACTCCATCCTTGAGGAAACCTTAATAATAGAAAGAAAAAATAATATATATAACAATAACACAGCTAACATTTGGTCTTAGCATACACTGGGTCCTATAAGCACATTACATTTTCTTGTTTGATGCTTGCAGCAACCCCATGAGGATAGATATTATTGTCCTCTTTATCTTACATATAAGAACATTGAGGCTTAGAGATGTTAAATTACTCATCCATAGTACACAGCTAGTAAATGATGGAGACAGGATTTGATCTGAGGTGGTCATTCTCCAGAGCCACACTCCTAACCATACTCTTTACTGCCTTTCTGTTTTCTTATTAGTAAATTTGTTTCTCTGATAACAAAAACCTAAGAGCTGGCATAAATAATCTTTCGTCCTACTATGTCACATCTAATAAGTTAAGATTAGCTTCCTTACCTACTACTTAGGGTTATCCATTTCTTCTTGTGTTCATTTAATAAAAATCTGAATACCTGCTGTATACTAGGTATTAAGTAGGTGGTAGGAGTATAAATACAAATAAATCCCTCAAGGTACTTGCATTCTAGTTTGACAACTGAAATATAAACTAATAAGTGTAATAAAGTGTTATGAAATTTTAATAAAAAGCCCACAGGTCACAGTGTGGGTTCTAAGGAAGGTATATGGGTAGACCAAGCACCTTCCCTAGTTATGTCATGTTTTCCCACAACTCAAGAACAACAGTGGTAGAATAGGCGATACTCCATATAAAAGTTAAGTGATATTTCATTGGAAAAACTTATGTTTTGATAATTGGAAATATCAGAATCCTGAAATGTTTAAGTAGCATATTTAATTTGTATTCTTATTTTCATTTTGTCATATAGTTTTATTATGGTCATAGTATAGTGATAGCATTGAAATCCACCTTACATCTGACCCTTGGGAGAGTCTCCAAGTGATATTTATGAACCCATTTTTTTGTGTAGAAAAATTTTTCCACACTTGAGTATGGATCTGCCATTAAAATACACCTTTTGATGGAGAAATACTTGTTTAAAATTGAGACCCTTCCTGGGTCTATCCTTATTTATGCATTCATAATTAGTTTTCTTAAAAATGAATACCTTCTTTCTGTAGCAAAACTTTGAATAAATCAGCTGCTTTATAAAATATTTCTTTATGTTTCTTAGGAAAAAGTTTAGGTGTCTGTTGAATGCTTTTTAAAATGATTGTTTTTGCATTCTTGACTGAAGAAAATACCCTTTAGTTAATAAATGTGAAGCACATCTATTTTATTTATTTAGCTCCTCTTTTGGTTGTGAATATGGAATATAAACATAGTGAATTGAACGACTCTCCTAAGTCTCTGTTTAAAAGAAGAGAACTAGTTTGTCAATATGTTTTGATCTTTGTAAAAGTAGATTCCATTTTGTGATTCATAATACTAGTAAACTAAGGGAATGTGAAACAGCATTTTCATAAAAGGTTGCATCTGAATTATAGTGGTTTTCCCTCAAGTAATTAAAATCATGTAATTATGTCTTTTGGAAACTTTATTTCAAATGCAGAGTTTGTAGGGGTGGGGTGGAATGGATTTAGAGTCAGGCAGGTTTGGCTCTATATTTTATTAAAGACCTTTGTTTCATCTGCAAATAGTATTTAATATTTATATTTGTTCATCTTAGTTTATGAAATTGTTCATTGTTAGTGTTGTTTATTTTACATATAATCAGTAATTTCCAAAATACTGCTAACAACACGCTTGGAAAGAATAGTTTGCCACTTCTAATAGTTATGACTTTTCAAGCTTTGGCTTATTTTTCTAAGTCTTAATATTGGAGTCTGTAAAGAGTGATTTCACTGAAAACATTTTTTTTGCTTTATTTTTCTAGATGTGCCTCTTCATTTTCACCTTGAAACATTGTTAAAAAAGACTGAAATAAAAGGAGATCTTTCTGAAAATAAATTTGTAGGAGACTGTATCATATCTCCATCACCTGGTATGTCATTTACAAATCTTGGTACTTTATATACCTTTTATATCTTTCGTATACTTATTACTTTTGCTAAGGAAGTAAAATTTAACAAAGGAATGAATGTAAATCCTTAATTTTTAATATTCACTTTTCACAAATCACACACATACAAATAGAAAATACACAGGAGTAATCCTAACAGGATACTTATTGAATGAGAATTATGAAATATTATTGATAAATATAAAAGGAAATTTAAATAAACATGGGGGTACAGCACTGCTGGATGGTAAGAATAATTAGGATATCAGTTCTGACTTTTGATTTATGTTTAATGCAACGTTCAATATAACTTGAAGTTCTAAAAGAATTTGGTTAACATAAAATAGTTGTAAAGCCCATTGGGAAGAATTAATGGGAAAATGGAAAAGGAATTGCTGGAAAAAATATTGAATCTAGCCCAACCACATATGGAAACATGACAAAAATCTATAATCATTAGCATAGATTCTATTTTGCTTACATTTAGGAAAGTAGATCCATGAAACAGACTACATAGCTTCTTCTTTATTATATAAAGGAAGAACTGTAAATCAATAAGAAAGTGGAGAATGAACAGTAATGTTAGTCTTTTGGGGGGAAAGTTTGTTTATACACTCATTTCATATCATGTATCAGAATAAATTCTACTTGGTTCCAAGAATTTTAAATAAAACACTAAAATTACAAAATAAAACTTGAAAAATTATAATGAAACTCTGAATGGGGGGTGGAGACATTGTCTATGCTGGGAATAAATCATAAAAAGAAAGAAAATACATCAGCGTATTTTCACTATCTACAAAGCTAAAATCTCAACATCAAAACGTCACACAAGATAAATTATTTCCAGATGAAATCATCATCTCCCTCAAAAACTCAAGAATCAACTGAATGCCTGTTAGAATTAGAGTTCTGAAAGGTAGCAGATTTTTAATAAACTTATAAAATTAAGTAGCCTTTACAAATACCAGTAATAACCTATTAGAATTTGTAAAAGAATAAATTATCCTAGACATATTGACAATGAAAATATAAAATATCTAGGATTAAACCTAACAAGGAATTACATGAAGAAAACTTCAAAAGTTTACAGAGGAACATGAGTATATGCTTATATGGAGAGAAATACCCTGTTCCTGTCAGAATATGGTAGCTTAAGATGTCATTTTTTCCAAATTAACTTATAATGTAATTCTTTTTTCAAAATTTTATTTATTTATTTTTATACAGCAGGTTCTTATTAGTTATCTATTTTATACATATTAGTGTATAAATGTCAATTCCAATCTCCCAATCATCACACCACACCACCCCCCAACTTTCCCCCCTTGATGTCCATACATTTGTTCTCTACATCTGTGTCTCTATTTCTGCCTTGCAACCTGGTTCATCTGTACCATTTTTCTAGATTCCACATATATGCGTTAATATACGATATTTGTTTTTCTCTTTCTGACTTACTTCACTCTGTATGACAGTCTCTAGGTCCATCCACGTCTCTATAAATGACCCAATTTCGTTCCTTTTTATGGCTGGGTAATATTCCATTGTATATATGTACCACATCTTCTTTATCCATTCATCTGTCGATGGGCATTTAGGTTGCTTCCATGACCTGGCTATTGTAAATAGTGCTGCAATGAACATTGGGGTGCCTGTGTCTTTTTGAATTATGGTTTTCTCAGGGTGTATGCCTAGTACTTAAAATGTAATTTCTTTTAACATCTTTATTGGACTATTATTGCTTTACATTATTGTATTAGTTGCTGCTGTTTAACAAAGTGAATCAGCTATACGTATACATATATCCCCATATCTCCTCCCTCTTGCGTCTCCCTCCCAACCTCCCTATCCCACCCCTCCAGGTGGTCACAATGCACTGAGCTGATCTCCCTGTGCTATGTGGCTGCTTCCCACTAGCTATATGTTTTACATTTGGTAGTGTGTATATATGTATCAGTGCCACTCTCTCACTTCGTCTGAGCTTACCCTTCCCCCTCCCCATGTCCTCAAGTCCATTCGCTACGTCTGCATCTTTATACCTGTCCTGCCCCTAGGTTCTTCAGAACCCTTTTTTTTTTTTTAGATTCCATATATATGTGTTAGCATATGGTATTTGTTTTTCTCTTTCTGACTTACTTCTCTGTATGACAGTCTCTAGGTCCATCCACCTCACTACAAATAACTCAATTTCGTTTCTTTTTATGGCTGAGTGATATTCCATTGAGTATATGTGCCATGTCTTCTTTATCCATTCATCTATTGATGGACACTTAGGTTGCTTCCATGTCCTGGCTATTGTAAATAGTGCTGCAATGAACATTGTGGTACATGTCTCTTTTTGAATTATGGTTTTCTCAGAGTATATGCCCAGTAGTGGGATTGCTGGGTCATATGGTAGTTCTTTTTTTTAGTTTTTTAAGGAACCTCCATACTGTTCTCCATAGTGGCTGTATCAATTTACATTCCCAGCAACAGTGCAAGAGGGTTCCCTTTTCTCCACATCCTCTCCAGCATTTATTGTTTCTAGATTTTTTGATGATGGCCATTCTGACCCGTGTGAGGTGATACCTCATTGTAGTTTTGATTTGCATTTCTTTAGTGATGTTGAGCATCCTTTCATGTGTTTGTTGGCAATCTGTATATCTTCTTTGGAGAACTTATAATGTAATTCTAATCAGAATCCCAGAATCGTTCTTCTTTTGGAACAAAGTTATTCTGAAGTTTATCTCAGAATGAAAATGTTGAATAGTCAATAAAACTTTTAAAAGATCAATAAGGAGGTGTCAGATATCGAAATATAAAGGTATAATCATTAAAACATTGTGATGCCCATGGAAGCCAAGGGAACTAAATAAAAAAAGCCTAGAGACAAACCCAAGGATTCATTATACGATAAGAGTGATATTTCCTATTAGTGTGGAAAAGATAGCCTAGCCAATAAATAACAATAAACAATTCTTATGAAGCATTCCTTATATGCCAGTACAGTACTAGTTGAAAGGCTTTGTATGTGTAAATTGTTTTAATCTGTACAACCCTGTAAGGTAGGTATTATGATTATTTTCTCCTTGACTAGCTTTTCCCAAATCACAGTTGAGTAGTAGTAGAGGCAGGATTCAAATCCAAACAGTCTCTCTCAGAGTTAATGCTTTAAACAACTAAGTTTTTCCTGTAATCAGTGGCATTAAGTAATGACTTTTTGGAAAAATAAAATGAGATCTGTATCTCATACAGCACATTAAAATAAATTTAAGACGGATGAACATAAATACATTCCAGATAGATTAAAGAGGTAAATGTTAAAAATGGTATCTTAAAAGAATTAGGAGAAAAACTAGGTGTAGTAAATGATAATAAAGAAAATGGTAACAGTCGCTAACATGTAATTGAACACTTATGTGCCAGTCACTGTGCTAAATGTTTCTCCTTTTTCCAATTACATTAATATTAGACATATTAATTATCAGTTCTGGCAAGACTGTGTAGTAAAAACAGGACCCTAAAATATTTCAGGTGCAATTAATTGATACAGGCCTTTTGGGAAGTACTGTGAAATGCATTACAAGGCCTTTAAACTACGTATTTTTTATAAGCTCATTGAGGAAAAAAAAAAAACTTGTGTACTTGTTCACAATAAATGTTTGCTAAACTGTTAACTCTGTACTCTGATCCAGCAGATCCATTTCCAAGAACCTAGTCTAATCCTAAATATGAAACCACCTTTATTCACAAATATATTTATCTTAACATTATTTGTGGTAATGAAAAATTAAAGACAACTTGAAGAGAACAGTAGGAATGTGGTTAACTGTCTATCACAGTGGAATATACAGCCTTTTAAAGGATCATAAAAGTTCATCTAAGGATGGAAACATTTATCAAAGAATGTTAAGTGATATTAAAGGACAAATGTTTTACTTCTATGGATGGTACAATTATAACCATGTAAAAATGTTTATACTTGTATCAGCCAAATGCAATGTACGGGCCTCTTGGGGATCCTGATTTGAACAACTCAGCTGTACACACACACACACACACACACACACACACACACACACACACACACACACAATTTTTGAGACAGAGAAATTTGAACATGGACTGGCTGTTGCATATTAATTATTGTGTTAGATGTAATAATGCATGTGGTTACATAAATACACATTTTATCTGTTAGTTTATTAGAGATTCAATCTGACACATAATGTAGATAAGATATGATGTCTGGGATGTGCTTTAAAATATTACAGCAAAAAAAAACTTGTGGGAGAGAGAACAAGATTGGTCACGAGCATTCATGATGCTGAATGATAGGTACAGGGGAGTTCATTATTCCATTTTCCATTTGTGTTTCTTGAAATTTTTCCACAGTGAAAAGTTAGAGAAAGGAAAAAAAGCACTAAGGCAAGAAAAAATTGCCTATGCTTGGAAAAAACACTAAAGAAATACAGGAAAATATAGCTTATGTTTACTTTTCATGATTTAATTCTACTTGGAAGTTATCCTGAGACTAAAATTTTTTTACTTAAAAAATGTGTTCATGAAGATGATTATTTTAAGAATGTCCATAATACAAATAATATCATGATGATAACAAGTAGCTCCAACAGCTAGGGAATAGCTGTTAAATGATACTGTCTCTAATCAGGAATATTAGGTGACCATCTGAAAACATAACAATGATGAGTGAGTTACCAGATTTAAAAAAATAGTTATACATATATCCAAATAAAATCATTACATTTGAAATATTAATATGAAATATATGTATATGACTGAAAGGGAATATGCAAAAACAAAGGTAATTATATTTCTTCTAATGTTGCTCTATTATTTATCTGACTTTAAAAAATGGGGCAGTGTACAGGAGTTCCCTGGTGGGCTAGTGGTTATGATTCCAGTCTTTCACTGCCATGGCCTGGGTTCAATCCCTGGTCAGGGAACTGAGATCCCACAAGCTGCGCAACCAAAAAAAA